ATCAATTCATGTAGCAGCAAACAAGTGTTTGTACTGCACTAAATTACAAGAGATTGTCAACAGGAAAGACTAAATTAAATCTCTTGGTCCGAGAGGAGACTAAATCAACACTCTGCAGGTGTACTTTCCTACTATACAAACATACAACCTTATATGCACTGCAGATAGTGACAGTGAATATGACGTCAATCGATAGATAACCCTCGATGTAGTACAAGTGAAAGAAAGCAAAGATATCAATTATGTTATAATATATCGAGGACACATGTAGAACTGAAATGTACAATGATGATATTGCATACATTTTTTTTTTACAATTTATTAAGGAAGCGAGATAGTTTCAAAAATGGGAGAAATTCAAATTCTAGTTATGACATAATATTGCTCACACAATTAAAAAATTCTTATTAAATGTGTATTACTGATGTAACTTTAGTAAGTGAAGATGAAAGGAAATGTATAACATGAGAAGATATATGAAACATTCATTTTTCTTAGTGTTAAAATACTTTATTTTAGCTGGAATTAATTTATGCTGAAAAGACTTTTTGGATGTTTTGTATGGATTTTATTTTCACTGATTTTTGATGAGTTGAATGTAAAATATTGAGAAAAAGGTATATTCGCTGGATTTTTTTCACATTGAATCATTCCTTCAGAGAAAATTTATTCCCAGTGAAAATAAAGTATTCTATTGTAGTGTAACGTAAATATCTAAGACACAAAGGCATTATTTTTTGGAACATTTCAAACATCCTCGAGGCTAAAAACAGGTTATTTTCTAGAAAAAAAATGCAAGAGGGAGCACTGCAATTCAGCGGCGCCACTATGTGAGGGAGATAGGGTTCTCCCTACCAGGGTGTGGAGTTTTTGATTATTCTAAGTTAAAATGGAGCATTGTATGGTTTCCTTGGGGCCGAAATTACTATCAGACAGGTCACAGTTAAAGACTGTGGCCACATGTGATCCCTGGTGAATCAGAATTTCATGGTTGCCAGAGGATCTGCTCCCCAGGATAAGAGGACGCATGGCCATGGCATGAGGGCGCTGCGCCCCAGTTCCCTGCTAAAAGTATACCAGAGGATCTGCTCCCCAGGATAAGAGGACGCATGGCCATGGCATGAGGGCGCTGCGCCCCAGTTCCCTGCTAAAAGTATACCAGAGGATCTGCTCCCCAGGATAAGAGGACGCATGGCCATGGCATGAGGGTGCTGCGCCCCAGTTCCCTGCTAAAAGTATACCAGAGGATCTGCTCCCCAGGATAAGAGGACGCATGGCCATGGCATGAGGGCGCTGCGCCCCAGTTCCCTGCTAAAAGTATACCAGAATATAAGTTGTTTTAGTTAGACTCAGATTCAAGAATCCAGACATTGTGACGCACAGGAATCATTAAACGATTTTTAGGCAATGAGCTGAAAAAGTAGTTTATAACAACATCATCAACAATCAGTTTATCTTCAAAAATTGCTAATTTCCTGACTGGCCAATGCACCCACAAAAAATTAGTCAAGCTGATTCAGTGATAAGTTCAAAAGTTCTATTAGACAACAATATTTTATTTCATTTTATTTCACTGTTCTAATCTTGCATGATACCATTTATCCTTCCAAATTGTAGCATTATCCATGAAATTCTACTATTTTTCATGCTTTTAACGCTATCAATACGCTGTCCTTTGTTCAAATGGTATTTAAAAAAAATTGTGACATTATAAAGCAGCATCTGGCAGTACAGTCTCTCAATCCAGATAATTTTAATATCATGCATAAAACACACTGGGTCATAAAAAAAAAGAAACTGATTTCATAAATTTTCATTCACATAAATTTGTGTATTTTATGTTGCATAGAATCCATATGGAACAGTACGCAACGAGACGATGACCACTTTTTACTGAATATACAACTAATTCTAAATAATGAAAATATTAGCAGTACATTGATATATATATATATATATATACACGTAAAGTGATCTTGAAAATCTTGAATTTGACTATAGTTAGAGAATTTGTATAACAAAAACATAATTCCCATATAACTTTATTCTTTTTTTCTTAAAGACCTCTCTGTCCCCCCAGCAGCCAACAAACTGACTTGATTTTGAGAGATTTCATTTGAATCTGAATCCCTAAAAGGCACACTGGACGTAAATGTTACACAAAACGTATCCTGAAGTAAACGTAAATGTTTAACATGCCAAAGTTTTCCTGTATTTGTATTTTATACTTTGAATACTGCGGCACTCTTTACTTTGGATACTCATTACTGCGACACTTTTACACTTTGAATAATATGATAATCCTTTGTACATTTGTAATGCTGATGTAGCCCCATTGACATTCTACAGATTGCTTCAATAAATGCACCTAACTCAATCACATCCGTCTAACTTCATTAGACACAAGCGTTTTTGATGAAAGAACAAGTCTAATGATGTTTAAATTATGTATCATCAAATCTGTATTAGAAGCCGCATTCCTAATAAAAGCCGCATACGCTCTTTTTGAACAATTGAGAACCAAACATTCACCATTTCTCATATGTGTAGATGTTCTAATAGAAACCGCATTCACTTTGTCGCATTGTATCATTAGCTCCTGTGTGTGCGAAGCGAGGTAATGAGTTTGGTGTATGTGTAAGCAAAATCTCACAAACTTCTGAGCAGACTTTTAAACAAATTTAGTACATACATGCAGGTATCTTAGGGTAATCTGCAGATATGATCAGTTTTAGGGCCAGGTTTGTGCATAATAAGTAGCTGATTTGCATATTAATTTAGCCCGTGAAAGCAAATTCTCCAAAACTTTTGATCAAATTTTGGGATAATGTGCAGTCATGACTAGTTTTAGGGTCAAGTCTAAGCATATTAAGCAGGTAATTTGCATATTACTTCATTTTAAAGCAAAATCTACAAATTTGCTATATATTTGAGCTGAACATCTGTTGGCTGATCATAATGCCATTTGCTCTTTTACAGACTGTCGGGAATTTTTAATTCCTCAATAATTTTTTTTTTATAAAACACCAATGCTTGCATATTTTGTATTTACACAAAAGCTTTGTAGATTTTAACTTTGATTTTAATAAACGATTTTACAGTAGTACTGATTGTTGGAATGTCTTGAAAACTGGTAGATTTACGTGTGAATTTACAATCCAGCCAGTAAATCAAGAAACAGACAAATCAAATCAATGAGTATCCAAATTCAGAAAGACAAATCTAAATCAAATTCTATTCAAACCAGACCAATTACATTAGGATTGGCATTTGTAAACTATAATCTTGTCACAGGTGAGCCATTTTTAATTAATTGTACATGACACAGCTATGATTATTATATAATCTAAGGTGATTTCATATTTGAAAATAAAGCAAGCCATAAGAAATTAATCAGGCCTAGGAAGGAAAGCCTGGACCGGCCGTTATTTTGATACTCAAGTGCCAGATTATGTAATTGCCACTATCCTCGACTAAATATGCAAATTAGGTTTATGACCTTTAATGAGCAGTCTCAAAACTTGTTCACAATCTCGATAATGATGGCAAAATCATTGATCGGTATATGGCAGGGAGATCAAATGCAATGAAGTATCAATGGTATTTCCAATGTCAGCATTGCCCTTTTAATGATCACTACTCACTTGGGAGATATTGAAATAGAGATAACAGCAGCAGAAGACAGTTGATACTTCTGTGGGCCAATTTATGCAATAATTGACAAAAACAATTGCCGAAAACTATTTGTATCCATTAATTATTGTCTTGTTGAGAGTCCAGATAGGTCTCGCCACTGTTGTTGATTTTTCTGTTCAACAGTTCGAAACAAACGCTATCCAAAATCAAATTAAACTGATTGTTTGTGTCCACTCTTTCCACCATCCATGATTTAAATTAGTTTGGAGAACTCAAGGTGATTTATGACACCATTCTGATGATGCAAAATACATCTTCATCAAGATTTGCTGTTACTTTTTAAAAATCTCAGAGGAGAAAACAAGTTAGAAAATTCTGGTGTAAAAAACCGACATTAAAAAAATTGTGCAGGCCTCAAATGTGAAACAGGCTATAGTTATAGAAAATTATATGGGTCCGAATAATCAAAGAATTTGTTAAGTTTCGGCAGGTTAAATATTGTATAGTACAAATGACACAAATTTTTAATTTCTGTCAAAAAATTTTAGATTTGTAGTACTAAAATAATTCAGTCATAATAATAATATTCATCGTTGCTGTGATTGGTTGAAAATTGGTTGTAGTTTTCAAAATAATCTTTTTTATTATTTTTATTCGCAGAAACAGAACAAATGATATCATATTTATCACTAGTGTTTTAAATATCAAAACTAACTTTATAATGCTAATTTAATCATGAGCAAAAAATTTATATCAAAAAGTATTAGTTGCATTCAGATTCAATCCTTGAACACACATAAACAATATATGACCATGTGATTATGGAAGATGTATCCATTGTTGAGCCATTTGTGCATTAACAATTCCAGAGAGACATTTGGAAAATGTTTACTAATTTTCAATAAAACCTAAACTACATTTAATAATAATAATATATCATACAACTGCAAATAGGGCTTTCCATTAACTACAAATATTTGACAGATTAACAATTTGCCCGCAGGTTAAAAAAATTAGTACTTAAATAAAATATGGAAAAAATAAACGATAAAGTTCTTATATACAAAGTACTAGTAGTAGGTTAAATGATATGGTGATACTTGAGCCGAATAAACGAGATACGCTGGAGAGACAATAAAGGTACACACAATATCAACTAAATAATAAATAACAGCATCAAAAAATAGATTTTTAAAAGATAAATTAAAAAAACAAGAGTAATTCCAATTCATTTTTTCCCGCAATTGCTAACGAAACCGCCAGAAACCGTATGTTGATATCGTTACAGCTGATTGAATAGCATGCTACAGCTTTTCAATCAAAATAAAATAATAATACAAATCAGTGTTTTTTTTGCAAAATACCTGTATGATGCAGATCTGTTGCACAAAATAAGCGCGACGAATGTAGAGAGGCGATACGAATAGTAGATATGAGCACCAACAACAACGTGGCATAAAACACCCGCAAATACGAATGAATGAAAATAAATGTCTTCTGCAAACGAGCCAAATATACAACGGCCTGATCACGACGTTTTTTGTTTGTGTCATTCCACGATGTAAAAATCTTCGAGAAAAAAGTCCCTCATACTCATTGACAGAAATGCTAGATGAGAAAACGCAGCTATTCTATAAATTAAACTATGATACAAAAATATATAATAATATAAATTGTTCCATGATATTATGATTTTGAACATTGCCGAAATTAGGTGCGGATTGATATTTACTCTAGAAAAAGACAAAGGCTGTGCGGAAGTGTTTTGAGGTCTTTATCGATTCTTTGATATTTGGGGTATTTTGGTTGTTCCCTTTATCTATATTTAGAAAACTAACAACCACGCTCAACAAAGCATACGGTATTTTGTATTTTCCCGATAACAAGTACAGGGTTGCCTGAGTAGAATTCATCTCTCGGAAACTGGTTACCTTTAACCTTTAGCTTTTAACCTGACACAAAACAAATAATCAAACATGGCGGCCATGACTTCCAGAGCTGTGTTTTCGTCAGCAAAGTGCTGTTTCAGACGACGATTACTAGTATCCGCAGATACGATAGAACTGTGCAAGGTAAGCTATCAATCTTTGTCTTCTTAATGAATTAAACAGATTATATTTAAGAAATGGAGGTGTGAATTTAAATTCGTGCCGTTTACTCGTGACTTGCTTGCAATCCATGATCATGAACTACATCTCATCTCTCGCTCGGTGGAATAAATTTCCAATACTAATATTTTATAGTTACAACAACATTGTTGTTTTAATTTACAGACAACACAATTCATGGAAAGGGACACCTATGCAATTGAATTGGGGGTGAGGGTTTGAGTTAGGAGGTACAAATATGGCGGAATCAATGTCATGTTATTGGAAACACGCAGAAATAGCTAAACAAAATGTTATCATAAATTATCTGCTATCCTTGTGTACTTGGTGACAACAATGCATGCATCTACCAGTTGCAAAAAAATTGTTGGCAGTCAAGGCATAGGAGGTGCAAAATTTTGGAGTGCAAAATCTGTTCGTAGAAAAATCTCTACGATATATTTATATATATATATTTGTTGAAAAAACAGTAAGTTTTGTTGTCATTTCACATGTTCATGTAGATTTAATTTTGTGGATTTTACTCATCAGCTCATAATTATAATAGTTGTTTTATTGTTATGAAAAAAAAAAACATGAAAAAATACATATATTAAAACACATCACATACATTGTATCAGGATAATTCTGGCAGGATTCTGTTTGTCTGGTTTTTGTCTTACCGGGTTATTGTGCATACATGGACCCCTATAGTGCAGTACAACTGTATACTGTGTGGTCATAGAATCATATGGTCAGTATAGGTTATTGTCAAATGTGTGCCTGCAACAACACAAAATATGGCTAATCATAGACCCTCTACTGGAGGGTCTATGGACTAATCAAGCTTAAACAAAAAAAAATTTAAACTTTGGATGTATAGCTGATTTAAATCCTTGTTACAGTGCAAGTTTAGATGTACAGTACTGTACATTTTGTATATCCGTGATATGATATATTCACTGTTTTTTTTCAATATTCACACTGGCCAAGGCAGTGGATTCAAATCTTCCGAATATATTGGGATATCTCTATCTGCAAGTGTCACAAAAACCTTAAATGTATTCTATATTTTGGACTACGCAAGACATGTGACCATAATATTTTTATTATAATGGCAAGGATAAGGATATACAGCAGATAATGTTATTTTGCATCTTGTCATGGAGCCAATTTGAGATGATTTAATCAACATTGTGTAACATCTCAAACCCTAGTAACATTCTAGCCATTACCAGTAATTCGTGTCAACCACATTTACTTTTTTTATTGGTCTGTGATTATATCCAAACATGGAGGTATAGTCTTTTACCTCCATGATTCAAACAACCAACTGCCAACCAACGTGATAAGTAATGTTATTGTTTCTCAGTATGAAGTCCAGTCTCATCGTGAATATTCATCACTTTCTAAAGAACAGAAAAATAAAATAGCCGATGGTCCTGGTTTATCTGATTTTATATCCGCTGATGTTGATAATAGTTATCTTGGAAAGTTAAAATTAGAGCCCGGTGTCAAAAGGTAATTTATCAAGCCATGGATAGATGGAAACACTTACATGTATTAGGTTTTGTTATTACCGTACTAAAAAAGAAATGATCATATATTTAATTTCTATATACCAATATGATTTTCTTTAAAACCATTGTCGCATTGACCTTGTTTTATTTATTTTCTTCTTTAGTTAAGACATTAAACAAAAAAAGGGTAGATCAGATTATAATATTTTCCTACCTTCATCGTTTACCATTTTTTTTAGCTTGATAAATACTTAATTACAAAATGTATGTTTAATGATTTTTTTATGAAATCAAAAATTTAGAACAACAAATTCAGTTTTATTCAAGTCTCATTGAACACTTTTTTTCATGTTTTGCCAAAAAAGGTTTAGAACCTGTTGTATTGCTAATTAGATTACCAGTATACAATAGAAGCAATTGTTATGCTGACGAAGGTCAGTGTAAGGTTAATTAGTTTGTATTATGCAAATGAGATGCGTACCTGGGTACATGGGGAGAACACTAAACATACACAAATTACACTAAACATACACAAATTACAATTCTAGACTTGTTAAACAGTTGTCATGGCAACCTGATATATAAATATGTTTGGTTCGTATGAATTAGTAAGTACAGTTATAACCGTGGTAACAGGAAAGTTATCAAAATGGTGTTAACTTGTTTGTGGAAATTTTATTATTGTTGTAAGTTGGTCAGGGAATAAGAACTTGGTTAAAACTTCACGTCGCATGTATAATATTATTTTTAGATTACGCTTACCTCCATGGTTGAAAACCGAAATACCGATGGGTTCAAATTATAGCAAATTAAAAAGACAACTGAGAACATTAAAGCTTCATACAGTAAGTGCAATTTTCGTATTATTGCATGCTCCAGCAAAGTTATTCCCCTTTGAACAGAAATGAAAAACATTTCACCATGTTTTGCCTAGATATTTAAAACTGGTTATTTCCACTCGCACACACACTTTGATGCCTCAGTGATATTTTCAGCAGGCATTCTGAAATGCCAACTCAACTTTAAATACAATTGTGCATAAGTGTGTACTAATTTATGAAACAAGATGTGTGATTGGTAATGATAGATGAAACAAGATGTGTGATTGGTAATGATAGATGAAACAAGATGTGTGATTGGTAATGATAGATGAAACAAGATGTGTGATTGGTAATGATAGATGAAACAAGATGTGTGATTGGTAATGATGATGAAACAAGATGTGTGATTGGTAATGATAGATGAAACAAGATGTGTGATTGGTAATGATAAATAAAACAAGCTGTAGCAGCAATTTTACCACTGCAGTTGCCACAAATCTGCTATTTCAAACACAGTGCAAAAATGAGGACTTATGGTTTGACCTCTGCTTTTATTCAAGCTTTTAGAATGTATATAGATTGTCTTGCTCAGTAACAAACAAGAGAGTGCTACAATAGTTTGTACCCGGTAGTTATTTTAGCATATGCAAGGTTGTATAAAAAGATCCCAAATTTCAAATGCTTGATTCAACTGTTAATGTATGCACCAATATCTTTAGTCCCCAAGCACTGAAATTGAAATCACTCTTTAAAAAATGAATAGCATGTTAGAATTATTTGTGTTAAGACAAATGACACGTTTTCTAATTAACACAATACTTATTGGCAAAACTACAACAAGGATTTTAGAATTGTACACATTTTTTAGGTTTGTGAAGAAGCTCGGTGTCCCAATATTGGTGAATGCTGGGGAGGCGGTAAACATGAGACAGCTACAGCCACAATAATGGTAAGAGCAGTACACACACATACTCTAATGCAAATGTAAAATTTATTTCAGAAAACATGCATTTTTTTATTAAAGTCAAGTAAATAATTGGGTTACGAACGATGATAATTGTCAGAATTTTAAAGGTACATAGTGTTTTACTGAGTAAATGGATCAATAACTGACAGATAAATGAAGCTTACACAAGTATACAACCTGAATACCCACAGGGGGCTTCTGCTGAACACTGCTGCAGGCTAAGGAGTTAACCATTGGAAATGGGGAGGGGTGGTGGCTGGCAGGAATAGTGCGACTCGTGTAATTTTTTTCGTCGTGTCTTATTGTATATTCATATTTTTCTTGAATACGTCAAAAAGACCTTGCTTCCAATTTTTTTTCTCTGTGTTAAGCTAGCAATTTTTGTTTTCAACTACTCTTCTTGCCACCCCCTTGATTTCAAATGGTTGTCCCCTAATTAGCATTCTACTCATGTTCATAATGACTCATAAGCTGCGTATTTTACTGCATATTGTGTGTAAAAGGATACAATTTATGGAACCTTTATGATCACAATCTGAAACCAAAAAATAATCTTTCTTTGTATTATTCAGGTTCTTGGTGACACGTGTACCAGAGGATGTAGGTTTTGTTCTGTCAAAACATCGAGGGCGCCGCCACCACCTGATCCTCAGGAACCTGTTAATACAGCCCTTGCCATTGCATCGTGGGGACTTGACTATGTTGTCTTGACATCAGTAGACAGAGATGGTAAGCATGTAACCATAACTTTTGGCTATAGCTTTTTTCAATGGTTGATGTTTCGACTGTGGAAGCTTTGAGCGTTTTAAAAATTATTTTAAACATTGAATTCTTGAGTTGTTGTATATAAACGGCATTCATTTTAAAACACTAATTATTAAATGAATATATCCTTTTATTTAAATTTGGTTATGTTCTAAAATTATTTTAAATTGTATTCTTTTTATTCATGTTCTACATGTTTCAGAACTCATACTTGTCAAAGATGTGATCTCTTAATATGTACCAATGTTAAAATTAAAATGATAGTTTGGCTGCCATGTATCAAGGCTGTTTGTTACATCATCAAGTTTGCCTCAAATTTAAATGTTAGCTAGATGACTTAAATTGCATCTGATTAACATAAACATTTTTATTTTGTTAGTATTATGACCAAAACAAATCTTTGGTTTCTCAAGTTTTCAGAATTATTTCTCTGCCACAATTTTTGAAAACGGCGTCCTCTGTAGTTGTCCTTGCTTTATTCCTAGTATGTTAAGCATGGAAAAACTTTTGTCTTATTACAATCACAGTTCAATAATTATTGACATGTTTTTAGTTTCATTTGCAACAAAAACTGTCAACAGTTAAAACTGCAGGAAAAATATTTGTATTTAATTGTTAATATTGGTCATTATGAACATTGCCTTGGAAAATCATGAGAAAAGAAAATAAGTTGACAAGTATATTCCATCAATATTTACTGGGAAATAAGTGATCAAATGCCACTAAGTTTTCTTCAACCTTTATTATTCCTGCAAAGGTGAAAACATTTGACAATTATTTTTCTTTGATCCTTGAGCATCAAAGTCAATTTTTTTCAACAAAATAAATCCTATTTTTAATTTTTTTTTCAAAACATCAAAATACATATTGCAAAAAACCAAAATGTTGCCTCACAATTTTTGTGAGAAAAATAATATAGTGTACAAATGTTCAGCTCAGAATTGAGTTGGGGCACAGCAATTTAGTTGGTCATTTTGTTTTTGCACCAATATTGTTTGATGCAAACATAATGGGTTGTACATGCATATAAATTAATGTTTTGGTTCTGATGATGCTTAACTATTTCAGATATACAAGATGGAGGTGCTTCACATTTTGCCAACACTGTAATAGAAATAAAAAA